GCGTACACCAGGCAGGGTCAGGGTGCACCTGTTTCGCACACCACCACACTAATATATGGTGTGATAGCGCGAAAGTAGGCCAAGAACCGTGATATCCCCAATGGCTGCCCTGCCACAAAGCATACTTGAGAGAACCTTCGTTTAAGTTTAACAAAAGGCACCTCAAAGATATTGCATGCAAATGCAGAATTAACCACACTTGAGGCAAAGTAGCGGTCAAATAGGTACTGCACCACCTCAAACAGAAAGACTAAAGGCCAACGATCAGTGGCCGACTTTAAGTCAAAGGAGAAAGAGTGCCTACTGCCAACCAGTCGATCAAAAGGCTGTGTTTGGTTAAAAGTCCGGGGAGACGTCTTCTCCGCCCCCCCAAACATGGAAGGGGTGTAACAACCTATGATTAACGTAGTTCCCAATGGCGAATAGAAGGCTTTTGCCACCTCCCTCAACAACCTGACCTAGTCGGCCCATCCTCCGAGGTTTTTGTTCTGCTGATAGCTCTTTTAAAGAAGAGGTCTCAACGAGCCTCCTGAATTTCATTTCATCCATACAGGAGAATGCATCATTCTTATCGCAGAATGGAAACAAACCGGATTGGATTCGCTCTGGCCATAATAGAGCTTGATTGAGTAACCGGGTATCCACTGGTACACATCACCTGGATCATGTAAGAGAAAGAATCCACTTTCAAAGCGAGAGACGGAAAACATGACCTAGCTTTCGCCAGCGCCTTCGGAGGACCCCTCCTGTTGACAAATTGTTCAACCGGAACAATCGTTTTTTGGGGCACCTACGACATCCTACTAGGCACTCCTTGGTTGATAACACAAAAATTGTTCCCTACAGTCTTCATTCTGTCTTTCTGCAACAGTAAGAAAGCAAATCGTAGATAGCAGAATACCGGGAATATCAATACTATTGGGATAAGAGCAATATTGCATATTGCCTAGATGTTAGCAGTTGCTATCTCTTAGCAGTTTAATGCGGTTGAATGCGATCCCCGTTAACTCTGGTTTTTAGAGCTATGAGTTGAAGAGTGAGATAGACGTCTAAGTTTGAATGTTTACCGAAGGGCGGAATGATTGCCCATTTTCAGACTTACCGAGTGGGAATAGCAGTCAATCTGAGATTGCTTAAATCTCATAAAGTAGTAAGACTACCTCTTTTTTTGTAAGTGAACGCAAGGCTAACATAAGCTAGAGTTGAACGATCTACTGAAATAGCCTGATGATGAATGGAACCTCTTGAAGACATTACCTTGGCTTTTGATTTTAGGTCTTGAATTCTTTCAGATCCTGCCCCGCTTACTTTCGCTAGGCATAATAGGCCTCTCTCACTCCTCACCGAAACTGCGAAGGGACGGTGAGCGGCTTGGCTTACCGCAAGTCCCTACACAAGAGCTTGTTGACCATAGCAGAGACACGGCCGTACTGGTTGGGCGATGGCACAGTACGCGGGACCCTCGTATGAAACCCCACTGAGCTTCCGGTGGAACGGACTATTATCGGATGGGACACGCCTATAGCTAAAGGAACGTACAGCGAGCCGTAGCGGGAGGGACGTCAGGATACCACGGCCCACGGGCAAGCCAAGCCAGCAACCTTCAACTCCCGCAGGTCGTACGGGGTCTTTCGCCGGAGTTCACGGCGGTCTATTCTCTTTCCAGATTGAGTGGATAGGGGCTTTTGGCTAACGTACGTTCAGGGGTCTGCCAGTCAACTACTTTCTCATCTAATGAGGTTTTCAATACCACGAGTCCGTCGGTCGTTGTGTGGGCGCCCTCTACTTCTACTTTTAACTAAACGCGAACAGCCGGCATTGCAAGCAAATAGAGAGCCCCCGCCCGTTTGAATCGTTGCGAGCCGGAAAGCGTACCGGCAGTTTGAGTCGCGAAAGGACCGCTTGCTTGATTTTATTATTATTCTAAATAATAGATATATAAGATTATCTATCTATAAACAATAAGAAAATCATTATTTTATCTAATTGGGCATTCCTGGGAAGAGGAAGAAGCAGATAGAGCAAAGGCCTCCCCTTTGCTTGCGTCCGCTCTTCCCGAAGTGAGCAAATTGCATGTAGAGATCCGTAGGGGCTTATAGTTTAATTGGTTGAAACGTACCGCTCATAACGGTTATATTGTAGGTTCGAGCCCTACTAAGCCTACCACCCCTTACTCTTCACCCGAAATAAGGCAGTCGAAGTCGGCACAAGAAGTAGGCGGAGTAGAGGTCCAACGGAACTCGACTGAAAGGAGAGGCGTTCCTCGGTTGCGGGTTCAGGTGCGGCTAAATCAATGGGGTTGGCGGAGTTGGTAGGCGTTCCTCGGTTGGCACAGTTCTGTAAATAAGAGATGTCTCATCCGGTTGAGCTGTCGCAATCAGTCTTTCTCTTCCTGGTAGCAGAACGAATAGGAGATCCAACATGACTGTATTAAGCCTGTCGCAATCAGGGTTAAGCTAGCTCATTGCCAGAAAACAAACAGGAGCTCTTATTTAGATCAGAGGACGCTCATCCCAGGTGCTTTAGCAACTCGACTGAAAAGGAAAGGTATTTCTTACTCGAGCACTTGTTGCGAGAGGAACGAGAGTATTTCTAAAAGGAGAGGGCGTAAGCATGATTCCGGGGCGGAGCCATATGACGCGAGAGTGTAGACTCTGGAACTCAGGGAGCAAGACCCTAAAGAAAGTTCAAGAAGCTATGAAGAGTGGTAAACTCTAAAAGGAAAGATGGAAACTGGGGAGTTGGCTGATAAAGATGGACAGTAACGATTGCGTAATATAAATTTATCGGCCTCGTCATCGAAAGCGGCTTCCAATTGCTCGGAAATTTTCAGCTATATGGGGGGCTTGGATGGTGAGCAAAAACTATTGATCAAGAAGTTGGTCAATTTTCGCATGAAAGAAGGTAAAAGAACGAGAGTTCGTGCTATTGTTTATCAAACTTTTCATCGCCCAGCTCGAACTGAACGCGATGTAATCAAACTTATAGTTGACGCCGTAGAGAATATAAAGCCCATATGCGAAGTAGCAAAAGTAGGAGTAGCGGGTACTATTTATGATGTCCCTGGGATTGTAGCCAGGGATCGTCAACAAACCTTAGCTATTCGTTGGATCCTTGAAGCAGCTTTCAAACGACGTATAAGCTACAGGATAAGCTTAGAGAAATGTTCATTTGCTGAGATACTGGATGCTTACCAAAAGAGGGGAAGTGCACGTAGGAAAAGGGAGAATCTTCATGGACTGGCTTCCACCAATCGAAGTTTCGCGCATTTCAGATGGTGGTAAAGTGAGACCACATAAAGAGCTCTTCGTCATTCAGTCAGATTATTAAGTAAGATATGGTTTGACCCTTTTCCTTTTTGTTTTGATTTTCATCTAGAAAGCCGGCCTTCCTCATACTACTCCCTTCATTCATTGAGTTAGAGGAATCCATAGGAGGCCCACCCGTTATGCATTGCATGAAATAACCTTTCTTTTTTGTATGACTGAGAGGAACGCCTCAGGTCGAATGAATACGAAAGGGAGATCAATCAAAGAAACAAAAAAGGCCATGAATGAAGAAGTTGGGCCTTTCACCCTCTTTCTAGTTACTCTAGGAGCTGATCTGATAAATGCACTTCAAAGGGAGGGAAGGCTAGGTCTTTCCCATGTTGGTATGGCCCCCTTTTTCAGGGATAACCTACCTCTTCCATGGTAATGGTACCCACTTCCAAACAACTCCTAATTCCTCTAAGTCAATCTATCTGTCAATCTTGAGACAATTCTCGCCTAACTCAGTGTACTTTTTAGCCGGGAATTCGCCCGAGAGCACCTTCTACTGCATCCAGTACTGGATAGGATGACACCCAACATACCAGAAACGGATGATCTGATTCCATTCAATTGGCTTAGGTAAGGGACAGGGTGAGGAACGAACAAGTAGCTAGGCTTTCCTGGTGGTTATGAAAGTAGCTTGGCCTTGGCTTAGGCGAGTGCAGTCACTTCCGGATGAAATGATTTAGGTCCCAAATCAGTAGCCGTTCCTTCAGCTCCTAGTTTCAAAACCAAGTCAGCAGCTATGATATGAAAGCATTTCTTTCGAGATAGCCAGTCCAGGTGCTCGGGAAAGAGCTAACCGTAGCAGTCTAAGGCCGAGATGAATCAATTCGAAAGCTGTTCTTCACGTTTATGATCTGAAAGACCCGGACAGAAGAGTCATACTACTACGGAAAGGGAAGTTCAAGCAAGCCTGTAAGGGGAGGGGAGGCTCTCATTAATTAGTTGATGAGGGGAAGGGATTCACAAGTAAAGAATAGATCGGACGACAGGAGATATATTCAATAATGACAGCTGAGCAACAGAGCTGCAACCGCAGACAGCCGCTCACTACGGACCCCAGCCGCGCTTGCGCTTGGGCTACTAAGGGGTCCTCACGCTCACTACACTTGAAGGGAATCACAACACTTGCCGAGGAACTCCAATTACTCGACTAAAAGGGGTTCCTCCGCCCGTCTTCGATACAATCATTGCGATGTGTCACTCAAGGATAGCTAGCCATTCTTCTCTACCCATGCCATGATTTACAGATGAGCTCGAGACCATTATTGAATATATTATGAACACAATTTGCCAAGAGTTGGTTGTGACAAAAGTGATTGGGATGCCCATCTTTGGTCCAGAAGGGGTTCTCCATGAAAAGAGTTTCCACCTTTCTCTACTCGAAAAGCCCTATCTAAAAGGGCTTGTCTGGATGAATGCAGTGTCGGAAGCCGTGATCACATAGTAACTTCCGCCCACAGTGCTATTACGACGGCAGGTCACCGGGAATGAAGTAAACTCGGCTCCTGATGTAGCATTCATTCGGACCATTCGACGTTTGATTCTTTTTATCAGGGATACCGATGACTCTGTGAGAGGTGTTCCTCGGCCAAGTTTGACGGGTTACCCGGTTCAAGGCTTTTCTATATAATGAGAAATACTACTTTCTTTCTAGCTTAAGTGTTCACGTAGGTAAAATAGCTTCTATAGCTCCATCCAATAGTAATCAACGGAGATAATAGAGTCCAGCGGTTCAACCAACGCTTCTAAGGAGAGCGGGGCAAGCAAGAAAGCAGGCAAAGTCATTGAGCCTATTCTATTCCGAAAGTTCAACTGCTGGATAAACAACGAAAGCCGTCGGCATTCTTCTCCTACTGTAGCTGCTACAATTGCTTTAGCGCGAGCAGCAAGGAGGAGGCAGCTCTTACTAAAAAAGCAAAAAGGGAAGGGCATGACAGAAGGGAGATAGACCTCCTATAAGCATTACTCTCTTTTGAGGTAACTTACTTGCTTATTCTGATATGATGAGTTCCGTGGGCTAGTAAGATAACTATTGAGGTGAGGGTCCGAATCACTATTTATGCTTGTACAGTTTTATGATAGTTTTGTAAGGGAAAGAAAATCCTGAGAATGGAATGTAAGTTAGGGAACAGTAGTCAGACGCAGACCAGCGCAGGTGGGCGCCACAGCTGTCTTCCTCCATGTGATATCTGATATCACGCAACAGGAGATTCTTCACCCTTATTTATTGACACGATTTACAAAAGAAGAACCCGGTCGTGCTATATGTATTTGGGATCAAAAGGGCTCACTGCTATATGATATAAATCTTTCTGAATGAGAGTTCATGAGCTACAGGAAGAGATCGAGTCTAGAATAAACCGTAGAAGTGGCAAAAACGACTTACTTTGTTGCAACGGGAACTACTCGCCCCGGGCACTGGTGAAATAGAATCTTATGTTGCAGCTACTTATGCTTTCCCAACTAGAAATCAAACGGAACAAAACCGAGTCTTGCTATTTAGAGCCAGGGTTCCTCCGGGGGTCACAACCAGAGACCTACCAGC